CAGCCCTCTGTCAGTGTGTAGTTGTGTGTCACGGTGGGTGTGTGTTGTACAGTTGTAGTAGTTGTGTAGTTGTGTGGATGGACGGACTCACTTCTCTCCTCATCTTGTTCTAAACTAACTTCAGAGAAACTTTCCTCCTCTGGTAGTTTCCTCCTCTGGTAGTTTCCTGGACTCGGTGGCTCTGAATCAAGATGGACACGGTTCTTCTTGTCGGGGACTAGATAACTTCCCCCTGGATGTGGACTTTCTTCATTCCTCCGTGGGACCGTCAGCTGGATGTAGCCGCTCTGGGTCGTTTCCACCCGGGACGTCGCATCCTATAATGAACGTTCAACCCCTGGAGGTTTCCGCGAACCGTTTCCTATTTTAAAAAAAAAACTCAATCTGTTCCCACGACCCGCCATGTCGGGAGTGGTCCGCAGCCTGAGCCGCTGCCTGCTGCCGGCCGACGCCAGCCGGGAGCCGGGCGGCAGCAAGGAGAGGAGCCGGGAGAGGGACGCGGCGCAGGAGCGGGAGGCGCGGCGCAGGAGCCGGGAGATCGACGCGATGCTCGCCCGGGAGCGGAGAGCCGTGCGGCGGCTGGTGAAGATCCTGCTGCTCGGGGCCGGAGAGAGCGGAAAGTCCACATTCCTCAAACAGATGCGCATCATCAACGGGCAGGAGTTCGACCAGAAGGCGCTGCTGGATTTCCGGGACACCATCTATGAGAATATACTGAAGGTACGTAGGTGCAAGGCTCCCTGGGAAATAAAAGTTTGAGAGAGCAAACTTTACAGTCCAAAGTTTAGATTTCTGATAATCCGTCAACACTTGGTTTTATATGTTATTTGTTTGAGAAACTTCTTGAAACTTCTTGTGTGTCTACAGAGGACATGTCGACCTGTCCTCACACTGTCCTCACGGGGTTGTTTGAGGGTTACGACCTGGTTTTAGGGTTAGAGTGAGGTTTAGGTATTTAGCTGCGATGGTTATAGCGTTAAAAGCCATCGTATCTACGCTGTAGCTCCGGCATAGCCAACGCGTAGACGCGTATCCTCCGCGCAACTCTTCGCCGTACCCTGACGAGCGCCTCCCCAAAAAGTGTAACTGGACGTCAAGGTGTGATTCGTTCCTCTCGGTAGCGTCGCATTTCCGGGAATCTCCTGCTTCGCCGCCGCCATTTTGGAATTGAGTTGAAGGAACGAACACGGACGAAGACAGACCAAGCGGACGAGAGATTTCTTTAAGAGGAAGTAATTGCTCTTCAACATCCATCAGCTCCGACATGATGACGCACCATTGTTAAACTGAGACGTCAGAGAATTTGTAAATAAACAGAAACTGGAAAGAGCTCAAGCATAGAAACTCCACGGACGCTAGCGTTTCGATGGTGTCATTGCAGAGCAAAGCGCGCACACACCTATGTGCACCACTATGGATGCTCACAATGGCGTAGTAGCCACGCATAGGCTACGTGCATACCTACAGCGTAGCAGGAAGTGGGCTTAAGGGGATAGAGAATGCATTATGTCAATGAGTGTCCTCACAACTATACAGAGGACAAGTGTTTTTGTGTTTTTGTGTGTTTGTGTGTGTGTGTGAGCTCCCCCTTTGTTTGCTGTCATGGCCGGGCCTCCTTCACCAGCTAACAATACCAGACTATTCCTAAGGGATGAGCACATCCGCCCTGAGTGCCACACAACCCAGACAAGGATGATAAGAGCCTGAACTGCTGCACAGCTGAAGCAGTGTGTGCACGACCCTGCTCCGAATACCAACACATACCACCACCATCTAAACACACCGTATAAGTGTGGGCAGATCGAAGAAGCAAAACCGAGCAAGGAAATGTGCTTGTTTTGACACGAGAGAAAGGAGTATGTGGATTTATCGTATCATACAAAATGTTGATTTGATAGTAAATGCTTCTAATTCCTTCAACCCCCCCCCCCCCAGTCTCATAAACAACATCAGGCACGATGTTAGTGTCAGAGCAGCCACAACAATCAGTCTCTTAATTGATGTTCCAATTAATCCAGATTTAAACATAAAGCGGGAAACCTGTCATTTTAAGTTTTCCTGTTGACATCTTGCTTTTTAGTTTGAAACAAACCGACGACAGTTTGTTTTCTGTCAGAGACGATAAAGAAATACAGCAAATCCTCAACAAGCTGAAACCAGTGACTGGCCTCTGTGCTTGATCAATGATTAAGATCAATCCACTCTCCAATTAGTGCCAATCCATTTTCAATCAGTGTCTTAGACCCACCAACTCCATCAGTTCACTGCTAATAACTGTAATAAAACAAGATATACCATCAAATACAAACTGCTTTTGGCAACTTTACGTCTGGAGCTGAAGACTCAAAAATTAGTGATGATGAATAACACACAAAAATTGACCTCTCACTATTTCACCTCATCATCAACTGAGCGTGATTCCATTAAAAAGACTGCTGGTTAGTTTGACATTTGTTTTGGTCGTTGATGGAGGATCAGCTTAACCTGCCTGGTATAACGGACACTCCCCCTTCCTCCCCCAACATCCTCCCACAACCTCCCCCTTCCTCCCCGGGAGCCTATAATGACAGAGGAGGACGACGCAGGGAGGAAAGAGGGATGAAGCTGAAAGAGATCACAGGTGTGTGTGGCTCAGCTCGTAAAAAATGAATGACAGAGGCTGAGCTCAGGTGTGGTCCTGTTCCTCCAGCCGCAGTAATTATAGCTCTGCTCTAATCCCCCTCAAAGTGGAAGCGTTCACTTCCCATGAGTCAAAGTAAAACAAACAAACAACCGCTGGTTCTAATGTTGGGAGGAAAAAAATCACAGCCAGCGGCGAATCAACCCTACAAGCTGCTCACAACAGGGTATAGGTGGTGAGCTCCAAGAAACAGCTTCACACTCAAGAAGGAAGCAATGAGTAAAACTTTTAAGAGCTTATTGGACTTTACTTGCAGTTTTTCTTTATCTGTGCTTTTCTGATTGTCTTTATTTATCTTTTACAATCTTTTTCCTGCTTGTCTGAGTTTTTGGCCAGACCCCATCAATCATGGGTGAAGTCACAAGTTCACAGTTGTTCACAGAAATTTATCCGTGGGTCACGCAAATGATTCAGTTTGATGATTTTTGCCCTTCAACGAAATTCTTTTAACTTTCCCCGTAAAACCAAGACTGTGTCAGATCCTTTTCTTTCCGTCTGTTGCAAATAAAAAATCCCAACATGTCAACAAACCTCACGTGGATGTTCCTGCGTCCGTTAATACGTCACTTCGCAAACTTTATAACTCTTGAAGAGGAGAGCAGAGCGACATCACTGCAGGAAGGCAGCTGCGGAGACAGACTCTCTGAACCAGCTTCTTCAGCTTCCTTCTCGTGACGAATAAGAATTCAAGTCGTCAGCTCAGACGTCAGGTTTTCATGTCGGGTCAATGACCCATAAAACAAATACCGAGGCGGCCTTTTGTCGAAATGTTTTCCTCCTAATTGTTGCCTTGAACAGCTGATCGTCGAGTTTAGGGCAGAGGTCGGGTTCAATTGAAGCCATTTAGCTTCGTGAAATAGTCCCTGTACACTAGTGTTTCTGGTTATTATCTATGAGCTCCAGCTGCTGTAGATGTCAAACACACCGACAGGTCCACAAGACGTTTCCCAGACAGAGACGGTGTTTCTTTTCAGAGTCTGCATCCTGTGAATGGACACAGGCCACAAAATGGAGAATCAGGTTAAAGCTACAGCCTCAGAGTGACGCAAAATGAATCTCGCAATTAAGGGGGAAGCCAAATTAAATGATTCCACGCTCATCATCAACGTGTCCTTTTCAGTAAGAGAATTTAAAAGTTGAAATACAAGTATACGGATTAAGGAAAGTTACATAACGAGCTGTGCAATGTCACTATAATGCATGAAGGACAAATAGATAATAATCAACCAGAATAAAGGTAATTTAGACGACTATATAATTCTCAATTATTCAAACCAACAAATCCAGAATAACAACAATAAAAAGGACAAACAGTTTCTGCCCGACTCATCATTTCCTGTTTTGTTATCTGTCATTTACTATTAACTGATAACAACCTGAATGCAATTACCCACTAATCACAAAACAGCCTGAGTATGAGATAAATATTATGTTATATTCCAAAACTGAAAACAAGGCTGTGAAAGGTTGAAACTGTCTGCGAGTTTGAAATCTAATTTAAAAAATGATTTCGTATGATTGAAACTAAGTCATGAAGCCTTGTATTGAGTTTTATCTCTGCAAACATTATTTTGAGTTTTCCGTCTTGAGAACAGCAGCTCTCTCTTCTTCCAGGTGTTTTCCAGGTTTGAAAACTGCTGCACTTACACCGTTCTGAAACAGGCAAATCTTTATTTTGAAACTTTGCGCTCGTACACTTGCGCTCCTGTTGCCGTTTTAACCTTTCAGACATGCGTCCACATATTTTCAAGCTTGCCAATAACGTGATTTCTGGCAGCGTGGTCCCACAGCTCTGATCTGAAACTCCACACGACTACATTTTTGTTTGAAAACTCTGTTAGGGATATGCCTCGAGATGCTGCTGCCCCCCCCCCCCCCCCCCCCCCGAGTCTTTTCTGTCTCAACGTAGCCTTCACCCATCGTCACATGACCCCTTCTGGAAGAAAACAACCGGCATCAGCCTCGGCTCCCAGTGTAGAACACAACACGGAGAATCAATTACATGTGTTGCTGACTCTGCTGTCTTTTCTAACAGCTGTTGTGCCGTTAAATTCTGTATTTTACACTCAAGCTGTTATTCGAGCAATTCGTGACATGTGATACGTGCGTGTTAGCTCGGACTGGGACACAAACTGATACAGAGCCAGAACGCTCATGTGGACATGTTGTTTTAGTTTTTAAAAAATGTAGTAGTGTGGATGTAGCCTGAAGAAAAGTTTGGATCTCGGAGGCAGGGCTTCAAAACCTTTTTTTATTACATTCGAAGCTTTCAAACTCAACCTTTCAAAGGCCATGATCAGTTTCAGAATGTTTATCCCAGCGTGTGCTATCTCCAGATTCTATCAATTAAAAAAAGATCATGTGTAGAATGTCAGAAATCGCTCAGCTCACACGAGAGAATGTGAAGGAGACTCTGATGTGTTTCATTCCAAATTTGGGCAAAAAAAAAAAAAGGGCAGCATTTCTTCAGCCGAATGTGGAGGAGGATTTGGAACGGGACCAACCTGGTCAGCTTGATACGGCTCTGTCGTATTATTTGGTGAAGAAATGTAAACTACAGGGAAACACCCACTATCTGCAGACTTATTACAGGCAGAGGAGACACAGGCAGGAAGAGAGACAGACGAAGTGGATTATGCAACAAACACACACATTAGTGTATTGACAAGACTTGTGTTGGTTTACAGACAGAAGATCTTGCAGATGAGTGCAGTCGTGACTGGATGTGACTCAAGGCTCCCGCACAGTGACTCCTCTGTTTGTAATTTCACCACCAGCACGCTGCTGCTGGATGTGCATGTGTGTCAGATTATGGTTGCGTGTGTCTTTGTGTGTAACACTCGTCACAGTCAGTTGTTTAGGTCGTCTGTCGTCTTTCTCTCAAAGAAAATAAAGTTGAAAAAAAAAACAAGGGATCAGACTTAAAAAAAACCTACCACAGCACTTTGTCACAAAGGGGTATCACAGGCAGACCGTGCGTGCGTGCATACACACAGACACACACACACACACACACACAGGATTGCGTGCCACAAATTAATTGCAGTGGTAAGAAATTTACTGTTTCATCTTCTTTTTCTTATTTTTTTGTTTACGTCTTTGAGGAGGAAAGTACCAGATGTTTTTGATTCAGGTTTCCTCTATTTCTGTGGAGGTGGAACTTGAAGTACAACTGTTGACGTTGTGTAAAAACTCCTGAATGAGACAACTATACGCTCGTACACACATCTCCTCACCGACACTGACCCCGAAAAACACTCCACAGCTGACCGACAATGTTGACAGCCGATCAATTCATCAATGCAATGAAAGAGACAGGAGCTAAAACCAATTGTTTTAGACAGAGGCTGAAGAGAGGAGCTGCAGCAATCAACAGTCTGAGGAAAGTGACGTTTTCTGAACATCAGAGCATGTGAACCTTTTAAAGTTATAACATCCACTGAACATGTGAAACTGAATTTATGAACGACATGAGTCTCCTTAAAGTCATAAAAGTAGACACAGAGAAAATAACATCGCAAAACCACAAACAGCTGAGTGGAAAGTATATCTTAAAAAGTAAGATTCAAACTGAAATCACTAAAAGATCTAACGGTCGAGGTCCTCATAGGAATCAGACACAAAACACTGGATATCTGTGTGTGTCTGTGTCTGTGTGTGTGTGTGTGTGTGTGTGTGTGTTGGCAACTTTAATCAGTCAGCAGGAGACCTCCCACACAGATCAATCCTCCAGCTTTCCTTCATACATGTGTGTGTGTGTCTCCGAGACATGAGCTTCCCTGTTAAAGTCCCTCCATGTTTACTAGAGAAGCTCGACACAGAGTTGACGTTTTCCTCGGAGAACAACACATGAAGTGTGAGGTTTTTTTTTGTTTTTTTTTTAATCAGTGTGGTTTGAAGTCGTTTCACCACTTCACTGCGCTCAGACGTGTGATGTACGACTTGTGTGTCTCTGCAGGGAATGCGTGTGCTGGTGGACGCCCGCGACAAGCTGGGCATCAGCTGGCAGAGCTGCGAGAACGAGAAGCAAGGCATGCTGGTGATGTCGTGGGAGGGGCGTGTGGGCGCCTCGGGGGTGGAGCCCGGCGAGTTTCAGCTGTACGTGATGGCACTGTGCGCGCTGTGGGCCGACGCCGGCATACAGGGGGCCTACACACGGCGGGCCGAGTTCCAACTGGTGAGTAGATTAGAGGGGGGCGGTTCCCAGTTTAATTTCCCATGTTCCCTGTGCTGAGCTGAAGTCTTCACCTTTACTGACTCCACCTTCAACTCGATGATATTTATTGAACAAAATGAGATTCTGCAAAGAGATTTTTTTATCAACACACAAGTTTTGTTCTGATGAAATCTTCAGACTTTTCTGTTTGTGAGTTGGTGATCGTGCACTCCCAGTTTGCACCCTGTGGTTTCGGGGGATGTAATATGATGGCGTTTGCGGCGGACGAGCTGTCGCATCTGGTGATCTACGGATTATTGTGACAATGAGAAACCATCGTTCTTACACCAAGAAGAAAAACAAAGAATGGAACCTGGAATCGTTCTGTATTAAAACTTCCATCTTCTCTTTCTTTTATCATATTAATGAATAATACGTAATTCAAATAATATCACTTTAAAGATCTTTATATTCTGTGGTATTTGTTTTCTTTTATTTATAGTCATTTTCAGTAAAGTCTGAACTGTTAAACATCTTAAACACATTTTATACGTCTAATTATGCGTATAAAGATTTGTAGATTAAGGATTATCTAGTTATTAGCACAAAAACAAACAAGCAAACACTAGCGAAGAAAGACAATACTGTGCGTGATAATATATTATCCGGAAAAATATGTTTTTCTGCTTTCCTATGCTATCTTCTCAGTGGGTCGTGACCTCGAGAGTTTGAGACAATAAACCATTTTCCACTAATCCTCCCATGAACGTCTGCTCCAAGAGTCACGTTTACTCAGAGATTAGTCACCGACTGACACGATGCGTCTCATTTAACACGTCACGAAGCCAGAGAGCGTCCAATGAACAAGCAGGGCTTCGCTCACTTATCGGTTTGAACTAATAATGACTTTTCCATGTTACTGTGAAGGAAAAGATGGATTTCGTTTGTTTTTCTTCCCTTTAAAATACGAACAACATCATGAAACCAAGAACCGGCCGGGACTGTTGATCCCCGTCATTCCTCCCCATCTCAATCATGCTTCGAAGTCACCTTGAATAAAACACCCTGCACTTTGTGTATTTTCGTAGTGAAGAATAAAAGTTCTTGCCAACGATTTCCTGAAACAATTCCACGTCCCTTCAGGGGTCGAGAGCGGCAGCTATCTTCATGGTCACTGATTTACCACAGGCAGTTCTATCAGAGCTAATAATCAGCAGCCCGCTGTAAACTTCAGAGGAACTAACTGGATAATACGAGAAATGCTTTACCTGTCGACGTGGTGAAGGAGAACTGCGCTGAGTGAAGCCTGAGGAACTTTCTAAAGGTGTCATTATATTTCACTTGACTGGAAATGGAGCCGGTGAAGTGGAGCCCTGCGACGCATCATCGGCCACGCTACGCTGCACCGATTTGAAACGGCCCGTAGATTTCAGTCTAATTCCTTTTCCTTTTAACCCTAATATTTTGATCGATACCAGTGGTTTCCACACTTCACCGACACTGAGATTTCTGTCTTTTTATTTCATAAATAGTCTCATTGATAAGACTCAAAATACTGCAGTATTCTTGTTATTGAAAATACCAGGTATTTTAAAAGGTTTGATAAAATCTTATCAGAAGTTTGAAGAGAGGAGACTCGCACACATTAGCATTTTATTTGCCACATTGACGCTTCCACCACAAAGTTCTTCCTCAAACTTCTGACAAACACTGTCTCCATCTTAAATACCCACAATCCTTGTTACCCAACACAACATGACGGATGAAGACGACACTCAGGAGAGCGTGTCCCTCCACCAAGGCCCCAACAGTCCCAGTTTTCTATTTCTTACCATACAACCACTGAAAAAACACTAGACCTTATGAAACCACATTTAAATTCACTGGATCCAGATTTTTTTTTTGGGCTCTGCAGACGAAATTCCACACTCATCGACACCAACCCCCGTATCCCTTAATGTGAAAGAAAGGGGGGAACCCCAAGTTTCATGGAAATCTGTTCAGTATTTTTTTTGCATAATCCTGCTAACTAATAAAAAAACATTTAGAGAAGGACTCGAGATGGAGGATGATGTTCTGATAGTAAAGTTTCATTGAAGCATTTAGCAGTTACAGTGGCCGTGTTGTAAAAACAGATAAGTTCACAATTTATGAGCATAGAGTTAACATCTAAGTTCAGTCATGTTGTGCTTGGCCTTTCGAGAAGTGCACAACCACTGAACTATGTGGTGTTGAGTCTCAGCGCTCATCACTCGCAGCACAGCAGCACACTCACTCGTCTAAATCCCTGAGCGGCCGGAGAACCACTTGCTCCTACAAGTGTCTACAAATGTTCTGTGAAGGGCCAAGCAGACTGTTAACGACACAGAACGTCATGAATAACCACTTAACCATATTGTCAACATAGCGAATGTCTCACAGCAGCTGGTCTTGTTGTCGGTGCGTGTTGTGTGTGTGTGTGTGTGTGTTGGCTCAGGCTTTCCAGTCTATCTGTTGTTTGTTTGTTAAAGCGACACTGCAGCTATTATGTCCTCTCCGAGTTTGACCTTTGACCTTGTTACACATTTATCAGTGACGACACTATCTGGAGTCTGACGGAAGCCATTTCCGCCTCCCTCTCACTTAACATACTGTGTGTGTGTGTGTGTGTGTGTGAGATGTCAGTGCACAGCTCTGGGTCAGACTGCCTTGTCTTATCTGGAGTCAGTGTGTGATAAAGCTAGTATGCGACAGCTGCACACATCACTCTGCCTCTGAAGGATCACATTCAATATTCAGTTTTTATTCTAAATCCCAGGAAAAGACCAAAACCAACAATGAATCGAGGAAGTATGTGTTCGATTTTATTCCTCTGAGCTCCACATTCACACACACATGCTCACACACCATCTGTAAATACTCTGAGACAGGGGAACGTGTAGTAAGTCTCAGTGATTTTGCTCATCATCCACGTTGCTCAGGAAACTTGGCTCCACCGTATATAAACATATAGTGGGAGAAGCTTCCTGGAGCTTTATAAACTTTTTACATAAATATTTCCATACGCTTGAAACTTCCACTTTGTCTGAAAGTTTGAAATGATCATGGAGTCATAAAGCAGCTCCAACAGCAAGACGGTTCAGGGTTCCATTTAAAGACTGTAAATAAAGATGGACAACATGACGGCTCTCTGATAAACCCTGCATCCTCCATGTTACCAGACATTCGTTTGTTAGTTGTGGTTTGTTTGAAAGTAAGATTACGCAACAAAAAAAAACCACAGGAGGAATTAACTAGAAACCAGGTGGAAGGATGCAGGACGTGTCAGGGAGGAAGATGGTGACATAAGAGAGGATTATTTTCAAAATGATTCGTGGATCTCGATGAACACAGCCAGGCATGTTTAAGGGACTGATACAATATGAGTGTGTTCTATTTGGTTTCATCAGGGGACTGTCGGGCGGCGGTATGAGCTCTGAGCGCCACTCTAGCTTGTTACTTGATGCTATAAAAATGGGGGGAAATGTCATCTGTGCATCGACAGGAACTCGATACAGCGTCTCCATCCCTTGATCGTTACTGTGCAGACTCCTAATGACGTCGCCTGGGCTCGAAGGCTGTGACACTGTAGGAGATAGTGGGAGAAAGTGGAGATGCGTCATCCATCTTTATATACAGTTTATGGTTTGATCCCACCGGCTGCAGATGATCTGTATGGAACATTTTCAAACAGTTTTGAAATCCCCCTTCATGACTTATCTTTTTATACATAACTCTGTGTCTGCAGAGGAAAACGAACATTAAACAAATGTCCTGAAGATGTTGAAAGGCTATTTGTAATTATCTCTGTTGTTTACTGCGCGGACAGCTGACCGAGCCTTTCTCGTAACCAGATAGTGGTTTTAAAAAAACAAAAACAAATCTTCGGTTTGCTATCACACCTCGTGCGTTCCACTGCCACAAATATGTAAACAAACCATGTGTAGATGAGCCCAGATTAACCGGCAGCTGCTTCGTTTCCCAGGTTGTAGATCTTTGTGCAGTTAATGAGCATGATCATGTGAACCCTGGGGTTGTACCAGCTCTCTTTGCTTTTCTTCAGGGTTGTGGAAACATTTTTGACTTTATTTGGAAATAAAATAAGGCGGCCCAACATACATACATTATTGTGAAGGCGCCTTGGGCAACGTCAGCGTGACCCAGAGTCCGAATTAACACAATTATGAGAATAAGACCTGAAAAACAACAGTAATTCCCTCGTGGCTCTGTGACTGAAAATAGAAGTGAAAAAATACACAATGTGTTCCTGTTTGGTTCCTTCTTTCGAACTACTACAGTATCCAGCTGTTCTCAGAAATTACTTCACCGATTAAACCTTGTGACCCCCCCCTTCAGATTTACATGTGATGTGTTCACAATAAGTAGAACATAGAGAATCATCATTATTCTTTTTAAGAAAAACAAAGAAATGTCTACTGTGGGTTAAATATGCTGAGTTAGATACTCTTGCTTGTTCTCCTTCCCCCTTTTTTCTCTCGGAGAGGTTTTCCGGGGATACCACAGTCAGCTTTTCCCAGGCACAGCTGGAGCGGAGCCACAGGCAGACAGAGGGAGGAACTACAAAAAAACAGAGCGTCCGATGAGACGGAGAAAGGAAGGGAGTGGAAAGTTAGAGATGTGCAGGGGGAGGGGGGGGATGGGGAGGCTGAGAGAGACAGAGGCTGTTTTCAGACGTGCACTGAAGTCCAAACTAGTTTCTGGAGGGGCTGAATGTTAGAACGCAAATGTCCGAGTGAGTTGCTTTTGAATATTTTCTGGAACTTTGCCTGCCAGGCCCCTGGTAAACTGTCCGGGTGAGCCCACGTGAGAGAAATCCACAGTACGCGAGTGGGCGTGTTGATGTCGCTTCGAACATGTGACGGATGTGAAACTGAACAAGTACAAATATCTCAGGTTGAAAAAGACGACGTCAGCTTGGAAAGACAATGAGATTTGTGAGACAATTGTTGACGAGTTTGGAGCTGGAGTGTTTTTTTGTTTTAGGCACTGAAGCTGTTATTTAGTGTTAAATCATGTCGTTGGGTCAAGTTTTATTTTCTATATTAAAGTTAAGTATGCTTCCAATTTTCCTTAGCAACTAAAAAAATGTTGTCAATAGTCGTTTTTAAGCTTTTTTAATAAGATCAAAGTTTTGGCTCTGACACTGTTCAGGAATCATTTTAAAAGTATGGATTTAGCACCGGCATCGAAAAAAACAAACAAAAAAACGATCCCCAACCCTCGTCTGAACGCCTCCGACCTGCGTCTCATCCAGACACTTACTGGACTTCAAGGAGACAGAAGAATAAACCGTCAGTGAGCACACGTGAGGATTTTGTTTACTTGCCAGGCATCAGTGTGTTCCCAGCACCACACCCAGATAACACATAGTTTGGATATAGGACACAAACACCGAACCCTCCTCTCTGCTTGACAAAAACAAGGCTGTATATCACGCTGCTCGACTGTGGCTGTTGTCTTCAGCAGCACAGACATCCTGAGTGAAGAAACTACGAGTTCAGACTGTGTGAGACTTTGAAGCCCAACCAAGACGTGAACACATGCACAGACTCATGCTCTCATTCCATATGTCTGAGGAGACGAGATCCGGACCTGTGAGTCTGTCAGACAGGAGCTGTACTTCCTGATTTAACAATACCATCTTATTCTGTCTGTGAGCTGAAGCTTACTTCAGTAAAACACCTACTCTACATTGCAGAAGCCGGTATTTTAATGCTCTCAACAGATTGAGATTAAATATACAGAATACATTCATGATGTAATTTTATCTCAACATCACCTGTTTGTAAGATTACACAAAAACAACATGACAGATTTCCATGAAACTTGGGGGAAGTTAGAGTCGGGGAAGAACCCAGAACATTTTGACGTAGATCGGAATCAGGAGCCGGATCCAGGATTTTATTTCACTTTCTTTAACATTGTGAGATGTTGCTTTTCAATATTTTAACCATTTTCTCAGGGTATAGTTAATTTATCTTCAGCTTTACCTGCTACGTGATGAGTATTTTTACTTTTCATGACATCCTAAAGATTATTTTGATCCTAAAACTTTGTTCATTTACTCAAGTAAAGTTTGACTGTAACAAAGCATCTCTACCTCTTGCTACTTAGATTAGTACCTGGTTTTTTTCTATTGATTTTAGAATTAAAGGGTCATTTGGGTTTCTTACAACGTGAGTCTCATTTTCATATTCAGATCAGTTCTGACAAAAACTGCTTAGATCTAGAAACAACATGAGTAGAACACAGTTCTTTACTTGAAATGTTTTCACTTGTTCGAACATTAATTTCAGCAGAAAAAAGTTAGAGAGCTAAGATTCTAAGAGCTATTTAGCTAAATGAGTATCAGACTCTATGAGGGATATCTATCTATTTGATAATATATCTGAGGACTGGCATGATTAAAAATTAATCAATGGATAGATCGATAAATGAAAGAAAGATTAGATAGAACGCTGGATTATTACTCAACCTGTGAGTTAATATTTCATTGTGGTCGATAGTGAAAGTCTTCAGTGGTTGAACAATGGTGGCACACCCAGTCACACACACACATTACAAGTGACGCATGTACCTGTGGCTACACACACACACACACATGCACCCAGGCACACAATCATACAACGCAGAATGTGAGCTTATTCAGGTCTGTGCCGCAATAAAGCCCCTAATCTGCCCATACAAGTCATGAATGGAGACATTCCTCCTGCCTTATTCAGCGCACACACACACACACACACGCACACGCTGTATTTTTTAGTTTTACTACTTGTGGATTTGCATTACAAGGCACTAAAACATTGGCTGAATAAAAGTAATTTATTTTGATGCTTCGTGTAATGCTTCCACTGGATGAATGATCAGACTGTTTCATTTCTGCTGATGGCAGTTAGTGTCTGTGGAAAAGATCTGTCTGTGTGTGTGTGTGTGTGTGTGTGTGTGTGTGTGTGTGTGTCCGCTCACATACGTCTGTGTCTGCGTATCCCCTCATCTCTGGGAATTCCCCTCTCCCTGCTCTTCCCTCTGACCCGCCCCTCGTCCCGTTCTCGTCCCGCTGAACCAATCCCAGTGTCTGGCTTTGTTTCCTACAGCAGTGACAGTGTGGGTCAGCGGCGGGGTCACGAGGTCGTGTCTCACCCCCACGGGGGGGGGTCACGTTTCCTGGTCGTTACACAGTCGCACCATGTCGACGACGACAGTGATTCATTTAACAGCCACATCAAAAAAGTTTGGTCAGAGTGACAGAAAGTGAAAATCTGCTGCCGGGGAAAAAGTTTGAAGATGAACAATTGAACAATGCTGTATTGTAGTGAAGCCTCTGTGTGTGTGTGTGTGTGTGTGTGTGTGATGGTGCGGTACTCCTAAAATGACTTTGTAACGCAGTTCTTTCTGACTCACTAATCCCTCCCTCCCCCATGCCTCTCCCCACCATTTTCACACACACAGCTGTTTCCTCTGTGTGTGTGTGTGTGTGTGTTTGAGAGGGGGAAAGAACGAGATTCAATTTTAAACTACTTTCAGTTATCATTGGTGAAAATTATTTTTTAATGTACAATGTGTTTTGTATCAAGGTTTGGTTTCGGAAGTTGCGACTCCTTTTTTGTTCCCTTTCCACAGATGACGTAAACCTGACACCACATTAAAGAATTCTGCGCTTTAGAAAAACTGAACGTTCCAAAGTTTTTCCTCTGTTCCAGGCACCAGCTACTTCCACAGAATCAATTAGCAGCCTCTCAAAACTTCCCTTGAGCTGTGTAATCCTTTACAGTGACAATCAGCCTGCACTTAAACCACATTACCACTCAACAACAGTGTAGCATTGACATGAATGAAGGCAGACTTTATGTTCACTGTGATGGATGACAACTCAAGTTTCGAGAGTCTGCTAATTTATTTTCCTGCTGTAGGAAAATGAAATGAACTCGGTTGATGTCTGTAAGTGGCTGTAATTGATATTTTCATAAAAACGCAGCTGCAGAACTCAAAGCGACATTGTGAGCGGGTTGTTTATGGCGAAGAAGCCACAGAGAATTATCGCCGCTCAGCAGTGCACAGCTTTATAGAGAATTCAGCTCATTGTTCGTCTGTCAGAAAGTTAACTGTGTTCATTCTCTCTGAGCTGTTTTCAAAAGTCTTTAAAAACCCACTGTAAACTATGTGGTCATCAGACCACCAGGGACAGATTCTTCCCTCAGGAGTTGGTGGAACACAAAGCTGACAACAGAGCGAGTATCAGGCTGAGAATATTCACACAAAGTAGAATAGCACAAATCTGCTGCAAGGCCGAACCGTCTTACATGTGATTGTCTCCTTCTTCTTGAGAAAGAAGGAAGCAGTCTGATTATCTAACTTGGGTTCTTACCAGACCCAGGACTCATTCCTCCACCAAGTCTGTTGAAAATCGTTTAAGTAGTTTTTACATAATCCTGCAAACAAATAAACCAACACACACCACGACAACACTTAGAAAGAGGTAATGATTGATAATACTTCCCTGTAACTTCTGCACATATAAAAAACAAGTAAAAACTAATACTGAATATTTGGAAATAGGTGAATATGTCAAAAAAACAACAAATGCAAGTGATCCGTGTCCCATCCTTCCATCAGGTTTCGTGGAAACCCATTCATTAGTTTTTACGTAATCGTGCTGACGAACAAACAAACACAACGTCCCTGGGGGTGATAACAACTGCTGCCGTTGGAATCAAGCTCGATGAGTTTGACGTTTGTGATCCAGGAATATGAGATTGATAAAGATGTTGATGAATGCAGCTTTATGTCTGTCAGTGTGTCTGTCAGTTTCTCTGTGGCGATGTGAAGAAGTGCTCTTAATGTGATCAGTGACAACACTGATAAGAACGAGGCTCATAAAAAAAAAAAATAAAAAGAGAGAGAGACTGTTATGATTCAGTTACATAACGGAGTCCCTTCACTTCATGGTTCTACATTCAGGCACTGATACTGATCAGGCCCGCTCATTAAAAGTAGCTCCGCAGTATGTTAGAAATAATATGATGCGATTGATATGATTATGCTTGGTCACATGTTTTCTGTTGCACTGACTGATGTCTTATTAAATCACTGACCACACTATAACAGCTTCTACGAGATGGGGAGGAAATAAGGAGAAAACACAAGAAACCGTTGTAATGATCAGATTAAGCTCTGTAACTTGGTCATTTGTCTTTTAAAACTTGGTTTCTTGTGAAATAGGATGACTCAGCTGTAATTTCTTTCTCTTCCTGTCTGCAGAGTGAGTCGGTGAAATACTTCCTGGATAACTTGGATCGTATCGGACAACTGGTGAGTCAAAGTGACTTGTAATATCTTAAAGGAAACAATCCTCTTGACCTTCCAGAACTTTTGCATCCACAAAAAAAACTATTCAACACACCAGAGGAAAGAAAAACATAATGTCTCCTTAAAGCTCCTTCTCCATTGCTTGACCGCCAACCCTTACTTTAAAAAATCAATTGTTTGTCCCCCATTTTCAGAACTACAGCCCGAGCAAGCAGGACATCTTGTTCGCGAGGAAGGCGACTAAAGGAATAGTCGAGCACGACTTTGTCATCAAGAAGATTCCCTTCAAGATGGTGGATGTGGGAGGGCAGAGGTCTCAGAGACAGAAGTGGTTTCAGTGTTTTGACGGGATCACTTCCATTCTCTTCATGGTTTCATCGTCCGAGTACGACCAGGTACCCTTCCAGCACACATTTACCCACTACTGGTCATGTAATGCTGACGTGGAGGTTTTAAGAGGTTAGTCAGACAGTCTGATCTTTATTCTCCAGAGTTTTACAATTACAAAATGGACAAGAAACATCAGAGAGACGCTAGATTTGGGATTTACACAAAGCTCTCTTTGTGGTAGGCTGAGGAAACTTGATTGTAGTTCTACGTCACATCAACTCATATGATGAAGTCATATGATGACGACTCAATCCTTAATTTGTGCAGAGAAAACCCCAAAAAACAAAAGACTGTGTGTGTGTGTGTGTGACTCCAGGTCTTGATGGAGGATCGAAGGACAAACCGTCTGGTGGAGAGTATGAACATTTTCGAGACGATCGTCAACAACAAGCTCTTTCTCAACGTGTCCATCATCCTCTTCCTGAACAAAACAGACCTGCTGGTGGAAAAGATTCGCACAGTGGACATCCGCAAGAACTTTCCTGAGTTTAGAGGAGACCCTCGCAGGCTAGAGGATGTACAGGTACACTCACACAACCTTAGTTCCCAACATCTCATCTCGTGTAAGGTCTCTAACGTCCTATGTGACACTCTATGATTCCAGTGTCTTATGTTCCTGAGGTCGTACGTTTCCCATTTCTGTAGCACATAACGAGAACTTGAAGACATTCCCTGTTCTGTATTTGCTCATGATGAGATGGACAATTCTTGGAACTCGTCCGAAGGGTTTTCTGTTCCGCAGGACTACTGCATGGTTCTCAGTATAACAGAACTGCACTTGATATAACTTTTCAGATTATTAGCGTTTGGGTTCAGAGTAGGAAATTGGGGTTAGGGGTCCATATTATTGTTAAAAATATCATTTAATATTCATGAAAAGTTTAAACCTCAAATGGTTCAAAAGCAGAGAAAGTGGCACACAAAGCAATCAGAGCCTGTAGAGCTTCATATTTTATTAAAATATCTTTGTTGGACGCATCACGAAGGGATAGATTGGAATATAACCTTCTCTGATGAGATCTACTGTTTCAGTGCCAGTGAGGCAAAGAGAGGATGTTGGACCAAGATATTTTATTCCACATCACCACCAGACAACAGGACTTAATAATAGCTGTACTTTTAAAACTTTACAGTGTTTGTACGCTTGTATTCCTGCTGTCGATACTAGGTTGTACTTTGTTAAGATTACACTCAGCTCTCTGTCCCTTTACTTGTACTTCTGTAGCTAAGCAAGTATATCCTTGATCCAGTTCAAAGGTCAACTGTACCTCGATCATTGCTTTGATGATGTGTATGTGTTTGATTGCTGTTAAAACTATTCACGGCCAAAAAGCTGAAGTGTGTTGAAGGAGAGATATTTAAATAAAATGTGAAGTTCTGTAGGAGTCGACGATTGCTTTGATGCTTTGTCGTCTCTTTCTACTTTAGAACAACCAGGCTACTATTTTAAAACTGAAAGTTATCTTTTAGTTTTAAAATGCGTCACTGTTGCTACAATTACGTCCAACAAGTCTCCAGATGGAGAAGTTCGGAAATGCCGCTGGTTCTGCTTTAAAATTCAAAACTCTATCTGAGGCAGAAAGAGGAAATGATGATACAATCACCTGCATTTGCTTCCTTATTGGTTCTTATAAGTCCTGACTTGACTTCCAGCGGTGAAGGCAAAGCGTTGCTAACACTTCAGAAACAATTCCACCATGTCATCGGCCAAAGAAAAGAAATCCCTGCTCCAGCTTTTCACAATTGCTCATTTATAGTTTTTTTCTGCAATTAAGCAACCGACTGCAAATCGACTTCCTGTTTACACACATGGTCTGAGCTGAAATGCTTGTGAAGGCTGTTTTTTCATGTTATGGAGGAAACTTTTTTACATTCACTGTAGTAGTCACCTCTAAAGCTGCTCACTTGTGGGGGTGTTGTGTGTAGAAGAGCACAAATATCACTACTACTAATATTCACGTGGAAGTAAATACTCTTAAATATTAAGTTGTAATGTGTACATGTACAGAGCATTTTAGAAAACCTGTAATCCATATATACGGCCAAGTGCGCTTTCTCCATGAGAAATCCCTATTTACACAAACAGGGCCTCTTGAATCTGAGCCATGACTTTAACTCAGTTACCTAACTGTCCTCGCTCTGCTCCTTCCAGGCGTTTCTGGTGCAATCATTCAGTCGTAAAAGGAGAAACCGAGGGAAGCCGCTGTTCCACCACTTCACTACGGCGGTGGACACAGAAAACATTCGCTTTGTCTTCCACGCCGTCAAGGACACCATCCTGCAGGAAAACCTCAAAGACATCATGCTGCAGTGACCTTCACGCTGCAGACGGCTAAACTGTGAAAGCAGACGTGAATTAAGGCCCGAGTCTGAGTCCTGTGAACGCTGACCTGTGGGGTCGACCCTCGTGAGGATCTAACTGAACTCTGAACCTGTGGAACCAATGAGTGGCTCCTGGCCGACGTCGGCACCTGTGGAAAAACTGTGAGGGTCACAAAGAACGAGACCCTTTGTGTAACCTGTAAAAATGTGTGTATGCTGGAAAGACAGTCACCTTCTCCTGCTCGTAGCACTCAAGTGTTCTTAATATACATGTTGAGAAATGTATAGACAAGAAGAGAGAAATAAGAGAAAAGCACCGACTACATGACTTGAGCACTGAAAGTGTTTTTTCTCTGATGTATATAATGACAAACCCTGTCACTAAAACCAAGTCAGACTGACGGAGCGATCAAGCTGTGGAAGCAACAAGCAGGAGGGAGAGTTCATGAACGGAACAAGGAGGAAAGAGAGCTGAAGGAAGAAGCTAATGTACATGTGACCGAGGGGAAGAGGATTCGTGCCCGTACCGGTCATATGCTGCGTTATCTGATAAGGTTGCACACGTGTTCCGGTCAATGATCTTTAACCGAGGGAAAGAAGTGAATCTGTCTTATGCTCTGTGTTCTCTCCTGCGCCGTCTTTCTCCTCATCCCCCCATCCGTTACTTTCCTCTCCTCATCCCATCGTCACACAACAGATGAACAGCTGCAGATAACAAGTTGTATCACTCTTCTTTTTTTTTTTTCTATCCCTCTCCTCGTCTCTCTGGCACAATAGTCAGATTGTTCGTCTCCTCCCTCTCCGGCTGAAACAGTAGACGGTCAAATTAGAGACCCGTCTTGGTTTAAAGAAACACACACACACATGAATTATGGTTAATCTCTATCCTGATGTCTTTCTCCTGCTTCCCACCAACAACCCATTATATATATACACTATGTACCACAATATGGCCGAGACTTGACCCCAGGGAGATCGTAAGCATTTACAAAAAAAAACAAAAAACCGTTTGTTCCAAGTCTTTTGTCCTGTAAACACAAAGGTAACGACAGGATTGAACTGCTGATGACTTTATCCCCATGTTTCTGGCACAGTTTGGGACTTTTGGATTCTCTCCTGACTGTAGCAGTCGGGGTGAGAAGTCCACAGCGAGCGAAAGAAACGAGACAGACTGAGTCAAAAACACATGGAAGTCATCTCAGTAATGGAAATGATAACACAGTCAGATCCTTTCTCTCTTATCTGATAGTTTCTGTATCAGGGACACGGAGTATTATCAGGCTAATAACATGTGAAATATCAACAACAATAAGTTTGATCATCAATTCATCATCATTAGCAGGTCCCAGCCTCTCAGGCTTTCATTTGAGTTTCCTCTCATTAGTCATAAGACGTCACTTTTGGCTCTTTCACTGTTTTCATCACATTTTAAAGCTGCACTAGTGAATATTTAAATTTTAAAATTAAAAAACAAAAAAAAACAAATCTACGACAAACTCATTGTACAAAACTAAACAGCCAGAAGAAAAAGTGGCTACAGAAGCTGATGTTTCCTTCAGGAATGGCTGGGAGACCAAAACAGAGGAAAAAAAGAGAGTGAGAGACGACTTTGATTCGTTACGACCGCTATTCCCCCGAGCGACAAAATCTTTAAAGCGTCATTGAAAAAAAGTACCAACAGATTTAACCACTATTGATAATAATCTCTCTTATTTATGCCTGTTTCAAAAGTGAACATTGGTAATGTAGCGTAGAGACGTTTAAAAAAAAAAGAAAAAGTACTGTTGCTATAGTTACTTGCAGTTTTACGAACCTTGTGCACTGATTTTTACCGGCGGTTAAACTGTTGGTTGTTGCCATGTTGGACGTGTCCTTTTACGTGATTTTAATGAACCCGTCAGCCAATCAGAGAAAAGAGTGTTTTCAAGAACAAACCCGTATCTTTCTTTGGATCCTCGAAATAAGTTCCTGACTAATATGAAGTGATTTGCATTTTGGTACGCAGCAGCAGGAAACAGCTGGGCCGAGTACTAAATCCCAACAGCCCCGAGGGGAACGACTCATGAGCACTTCCACAAGCCTAATTATTATCATACTGTATCAAACTGTGTCATGTGTCGGTTTTTTGTGTGTGTTCATGGTGAGCATGTTTTTACTTCCTGTACATAGTATTCTGTAAGTATTTGCCTGACACTGTGTGTTAACCTTACAATACAAACACCACTCGGTCTAACAGTATCACTGTAACTGTAACGTTGCTGTAAAACGTGTCGTTAACTAACTAACTACCTTTTCCACTCACACGCAACTTTTTGTTTTTGTAAGTGTCGTCATTGCACTGGATGTATCCAAGAGAAAAACGACCAGAAAGGAAAACGTCTGGAGGGGAAGAAAGAAGAAAGAAAAAAGAAAAAGGCAGAGAAACAAATAAACAGACGGCGGACTTTGAAAGTGGAGCAGGATGAAGAGAGGGACGTCTTCTGCTGTTATTTTTTGTTTCCCACTGCCTTGGCTCTGTGCTCTGTGGTGAAATACACTGCCTTTTGCTGACATGCTGTTTCTTTATTTTCCCAGTGTTGGCGTCTGTGTGTGTTTGATTGTGCGTGTGGTAAAGCAAGAGGTCAGGACCCTCGGAGCTGGAGAGTGAAAAAAAAGAGTGGATTAACGGGGGGAGAGGGAGAGAGAGTGGTGGTGGTGGTGGTGGGGGGGGGGGAACAGAGGGAGATGGCGGAGGAGTTTAAAAACTGTTTGGAGTTCAAGATGTGGTGAGAAAAAATGAATTCAAATACGTCCTGGGGCGGTTGAATCATTATTTATGAACACAAGCAAAAGCCAGAAAGCAAAAGAGTTGAGGCTCCTGATAAGTAATGTCAGACTGGTGTTCAGCCTGCAGGCAAACCCTCAGCTTTCATTCCACATAATGTAATATGAAGCTCATCAGGCAGAGCTGGGAGACGAGAGAGGAGGCATGAGAGAGGAGCTGAAGTCGGGCGATATCTCCGTTACCCAGCGGAGTCTGACCTTTGCTTTGACTTTTAATCAGACGAGCCTCTGATACGTAACAGGCTGCCAGTCTCAGGAGAGAGGGAGGGAGCCGACAAATAGACCCGAGTTGTTTCAGAAATCACTGTTTCAACGTGGATCTATTTACACGGGAAGTGAGGAGAATGTAATTTAAGGCCTGAACACACACACAGACACAGACACACAGACACACACACATGGCACAAACACGTGGCAGCCTGCAGGATCCCTGTAACAAAAAAAAAGGCCGAAATGATCCTGTGGAGGGGGTAAGAACAGATTGGGGGGGGGGGGGGGGGGACACAAAGGGAGGAAGAGGGAATACAAGAAAAGTAAGAGGAAGGAGGGAGGGAGGGAGGAGAGGAAGGTGGTGGGGGTGTCATGTTTCCTCTGTTGAGCCTACTTCCTGTCCTGATCCCAAAATGGAGAGACTGTAAGAACGACATCCCTTCGACGCCACCCCTCCCTCCCTCCCTCCCTCCCAAACACACACACACACATCAGAGAAACCCAAACCAGCCTCCCGTGGTATCCTACAAAAGAGATGAGAGGAAAACACAGGGAGCAGAAAAATATATCCCCAGTGGTGTGTGAGACATGAGGAAGCGTTCGTTTACAGAAGAGCAGGACATTTTGTCCTCGTGTTGCACTTTGAACAAGTTTGTACTGTGAGCGTACGTAGATCTGTTAAACTACATGAATTCAGTGGAATAGTTGAACACTGTCCCTGAGGGGATTTATTTCAGATTTTTATAGATTATTATTATTATTATGGGTAAACACATGAGATCTGCCGAGGCCCAACTGTCCCCTGTAATTCAATCAAGCTTCACCAAATGAAACACACAACAACCTTTTCTTTTTTATCAAAGATCCATTAACTATTCTGAGGGAAATCAGCGAAAATGTCAACTGGATTCATCCCCTGATTCTGATCCGCACCAGAATTCAATGGATTCTTTCCTGACACATATGAAGAGTAGTCTTTGGTTTGTAAACAATAGTCACACAACCAACACACAAACACAATAAAAGAGTTTATGAAACACATTAATACATAAAATGAACAGTCATCATTGAAACATGTTAGAAAAAGAGCTCTGAGTCTTTTAGTCCTTTGTTAAAATGTGTGTGTGCAATATCACCGAGGCCTGCAGCTCGTTTAAGAGTCCGACTAATGAACATCTGTCTGAGTGTTCCCCTTATCACATCCTTCCACCAAGTATCATGGTAACTCATGCAATATTGTTTGCATGAAACAAACAACTACTCAGACAAGATAAATTACATTTCTGTTATTTACCTCTGTGCTTTTTCCAACTGTGACGTGTCAAAATATCCACGTTTCTACATTAACACATCTTGTACTTGCTGTTCTTTGTTGGAGATGATGATGATGTTGTTTTGCATCGTGACCTCGTGACACACAGAGAACATAGTCCTCAAACAACACCCACTAACCAGCTGTAAACGCTCAATAAACCTCTACACCTCCACCCGGATGACAGGTCCTGTCTCAGTAACCACAGACTCACACACTGGAAACAGACCTGAATTCATTTAGACTCAATAGTAAACTCACACACATCTAAAAAAAAAAATCATGTTTTTCAATTTGCTGAAATTATATATAAGAGAAATTAGAAATGTCAGTTTGTTGACCACACTAAAGCACACAGACCTGAGCACTATCAAGCACATTCATCAGTCCTGCAGAGTGTGTGTGTGTGTGTGTGTGAGAGAATTAGGTCTCATGACTCTGGTTAAGCTGATGTTTCCCTAAGGCTGTTTTGATTGGGCCTACAGCCGAACTCTGATATTTAATAATGAGCCAAGTGCTCCCTGTGTCCACACACACACACACACACACACACACACACACACACACACACACACACACACACACACAGGAACTGACCAAACCGATGCATCACACAGACCAATATAAACAACCGGTGGTTCATTAGCGGACGATCTGGCCGTGACACATCGCTGGGCCCCCGGCCGTCATTAAACCACTTCTGTTTTGGTTCACGCTGACAGTGGAATTAACTTGGCGACGCCTGACGTCTTATCTGCTCTGCTGGACGCGTTTTTTGGCCGAGCCACCGAGGACGCTTGTTTGTTTATGAACACAACGGAAAAACAAACACACACGGGGAGAAGATCACAAACACAACGAGGCTACAGATGCAGACGTGACAGTAGAAGAAACCACTTCAGGCCTCTTATGACAATTAACGTGAACATATGGGAATGAATCACTTCTACATATCTACATTTCTGAACCATCAGAGGCAGTTTGGACACACGAAGGCAGATGTCTCCCTCTGCTGGTACACAGGGAGTAATGCAACACTAATTGACTAATGTTTTCATGTCTCGGAAATAATAAAAAGGTCTGAAGTCGCCCAGTGTTTGTCAGATACTGAACTTTCAAATATCTTTGGCATAGTAAATTGTGTTTATGGCAAATACACACAAATAAATAAGACATTCTCACACAAAACAACTCTCATTAAGAACATTTACAGAGAGTTTGGGTGAATGAACCTTCAGTTGTGTGTCAGAGTGGATTCATTCACAGACATATTCAAACCTGTTGTACATTTAATCCTCCCATCAGTGTGTGTGTGTGTGTGTGTGTGTGTCGTCATCGAGAGTCAGACTCATGATAAAACTGAACCGTCTGATGAAAAACTTTAAAAACTGCAGAAAAATATAAAATCACAATATAACATAAAAATTTAAAAGGTCAGAAGTTTATCTATTTTTTTTTTTCTTAAACCTGCGGACTTGTGTCAAAGCTGCTGTTTTATGGTGAGAAGAAAAAACAGGCTGTTATTTCAAATATTAATCCTCAGGCCTCTTTAGCAAGTTGTTTCAAAGTAAAAGCAAAATATTGGTTTTTGATGGTGATGCACACATCGAGATGAATTACAGAGTTTTTATTTTGAAAACTTGTGTGCTCTGTTCTGAAGATTGAAATAGCCGACACGCAATTCATGAAAAGAATAACAGTTGAGTATATCGCTGAAATATATATAAACAACACAAATGAACAACAATACAGAAAATTCAGTTTCATGAGTTATGATATGATGACTATTAAATCTTCGTTGCAGATAAACCAGGTGGGATGAAAGTTTTCAAACTTCACTATCCACATTAGACTTTTTATAAAAAAGCTCAGCGAACAACCTCCAGCACACAAACAATAAAAAGTGTCAGTATATTGTAGAAATAGTGTTTAAGGACTCACTTATGACAATAAAATCATTTTGAAGTCGCACGGCAGCATCAACACAGGACAAGAGATCACAACAATACAAACACACGGACACATGTGAGGTAACATAGGACATAAAGAGGTAAAGACGTGCTTCACCTCGTTAGAACGGGCAGAACCTCGGCTCAACAAAAAACACTGTCACCTGAACTAAACACTTCAAAAAATGAAATCAGTATGTTGACAACTTGACACACAAACTGCACATGTCCACAAAGCTTCATGCCAACAACACATGTCCACAAAGCTAACAACACATGTCCACAAAGCTTCACGCTAACAACACATGCTAACAACACATGTCCACAAAGCTTCACGCTAACAACACATG